ATTTTGCTGGTTGCTTAATAGTCTCAATGTCCTTCCTGTCAATGACTACTTCAGCTTCAACCACAACAATACACGAGCAAATAATAGATACAAACTCAAGGTAAGCCGTTCCAAACTCGATTGCAGAAAATATGACTTCAGCAACAGAGTGGTCAATGCCTGGAATGCACTACCTGACTCTGTAGTTTCTTCCCTGAACCCCCCAAACTTTAACCTTAGACTGTCTACTGTTGACCTCACCCCATTCCTAAGAAGTCTGTAAGGGGCGTGCATAAGTGCACCAGCGTGCCTTCCGTCCCTGTCCTAATATTCCTTTTTTACTTGCTCTTTTCATGTATTCCAATTATGTTTATACTTTTACCTGTTATCTTATATATGCTTGACAAATAAATAAACTTAAACTTAAACTTAAACTTAAACTTAAACAACTTAAACTTAAACTTAAATTTAAACCTCGTTTCCTCCTCTCCTCCTTTTTGTTCGCCGCAAGGTTGAAAACGCCAGTTTTGGTGCCAACTTGTTGTTAGAGCGCTCGGGCCACCTGACAGGAGTGATGTTGAGCTGGCACACACCCCTGCCCCCCCCCCGCCAGGTGAAACACAACCCTGATGCAGCCCTCAATGAAATCAAGTTTGATACCCCTGCACTAGACCAAAGTGACACTAATGTTAAAGACAGGGAAAGAATAAGGGATGGGTGGAAAAGAGGGGCCTGCTTTGAGTTAAACAGCATATGCATTGACTTAAGATTCCCCCTCCAGAGGACTCATTCGAATCTATGGATTAGGCCAAATATCCGTACAGTTGTACAGTGTAACACTTTCAAATGAGTTGATGGTTTTTTAAAAGGCAGTTCAAGTTATTGGATTTTTCCCCCCCATGGCGCAGTTATTGATCTGTAAACTCATTATATGAAAAATATCCTTAGTTTGCTCTGAATCGTAGCAAACAGTATAATTGCTATAGTTTTTAAGATGCTCCATTGCGAATTTAGTAATCGACCATTTGATATTTTTACGAGTGATATTTTTAAACCTCGAACTGAGCTTTTTTGTTTTATGTATTTATTTTTTTTTGTTCTCAGGGTAGCGAGTTTGGCTTTGTGTGAAACGCTCAGAGGTTGCTATTTGGCATCACACATCAAGTCCATCGTGTAGAATAGGAAACTCTGGTATCTGTCCATTTAGGTGATGATTCCTCTGTTACAGTGAGATTATATATTTAGCACTGTTGCTATCCTGGTTTTTTTCCTTTCCTTTTTTGCTTTATTTCTGTGTCAGGTGGTCACCGAGAATAGCATTTTAGTGATATGCCAAATTGTAAGGAAAATTGCCGTAATTGTATTTGGGGCATTTCAAAACCGAAGCAAGAGTTTTAGAGCAAGTCCATGGGCTGCATTTGAGGAATAACAACATAATGAGAGAATATTTCAGATGGAAGAACTCATCTTTTTTAGAAAAAAAATCTCCGTAAATCTCTTCGCTGAATATGTCTTTCTTGGGATTTCTTTCTTTCTTTCTTTTTAAATAGTTTTTATTGAACATTTTCCAACTTTAAAAAACACAAGTGAAAAAAAAAACCAAGGAAAAAAATAATAAGACAAATACAAACAAATAGAAAAAACAAACAACACAACAGTGTAATACAATTTTACAGCTTTCTGTATCTGCATGTATATTCTACTTTTGTAATTCACTATTCAATATTTGCCTTCTCATAGATTTTAACAATTCTAGTAATAGTATAATAATTATATTATAACAATATAATACTGATTATAACTGTTCTGATTATACATATATTTATCTTTATATTATAGTCACACACACACACACACACTCCTAGCAAACACTGGGAGAGTTTTTAACATGTCCACAGATTCATAAGTAAAATGTAAGTTATTCAGCCATTCAAGTCTGTATGACCTGTTTTATGCAGGTAGTCCTCGACTTACGACCACAACTGAGCCCAAAATTTCTATTGCTCAGTAAGACATTTGTTAAGTGAGTTTTGCCCCATTCGACGACCTTTCCCGACACTGCTGTTAAGTGAATCACTGCAGACGGTTAAATTAGTAATATGGTTGTTGAGTGAATCCGGCTTCCCCCGTGGACTTTGCTTGTCAGAAGGTCATAAAAAGGGGATCACATGTTATAACTACGAGTCGGTTGCCAAGCATCTGAATTGTGATCACATGGCCACGAGGATGCTGCAACGGTCATTAGTGTGAAAAACGGTCGTAAGTCCCTTTTTTTAGTGCCGTCGGAACTTCAAATGTTCACTAAGTGAACTGTTGTAGTTCATTACGACTGTTGTAATGAATGTTCATTACAACTGTTGTAGGCTGAGGACTACCTGTATAGAAAGTCATCTATGGTGTTAATTGTGGGATGCATCCTATAGAACAGTGTTTCTCAACTGTGGCCGCTTGATGTGTGGACTTCAACTCCCAGAATTCCACACATCTTCAAGTGGCCACAAATTGAGAAACAGTGCTATAGAAAAAACAAGGGCTACCAACCTGCCTTCCATGGAGGACCTGTATACTGCACGAGTCAAAAAGAGGGTTGTGAAAATATTTACAGACCCCTCACATCCTGGACATAAATTGTTTCAACTCCTACCCTCAAAATGACGCTATAGAGCACTGCACACCAGAACAACTAGACACAAGGACAGATTTTTCCCCGAACGCCATCACTCTGATAAACATAAAATTCCCTCAACACTGTCAAACTATTTATTAAGTCTGCACTACTATTACTATTAATCTTCTCATCATTCCTATCACCCATCTCCTCTCACTTGTGACTGTATGACTGTAATTTTGTTGCTTGTATCCTCACGATTCATATTGATATTGTTTCCAGATTGCTTACTTGTACCCTATGACTATCATTAAGTGTTGTACCTTATGATTCTTGATGAAAAAATCTTTTCTTTTATGTACACTGAGAGCGTATGCACCAAAGACAAATTCCTTGTGTGTCCAATCACACTTGGCCATAAAGAATTCTATTCTATTCTATTCTATTCTATTCTATTCTATTCTATTCTATGAAAACCAAGTTTAGAAACACATATTGATTGGGTGAAGGTGTGAGATGGATCTGTATTCCTAATACATTGGAGCTAGCAGCACTGCAGCAGCACCCCCAATGCACGGTCAAATTGCTTGGAAAGAACACAGTTTTCATTATTTTGAAAAAAAATTGTTCGGCGGAGGCCTCCCAAATCTCTGAAACCCCCTTGAACTGGTAGGCTGTCAAACGCTTTATTAAAAGAGGAGTGGGAAAAGACAAAGAGAAGGAGTCATCTGTTCTGTCCCCGTCCCACACACACACACCAACAGACATCCAAGAGTTAAAAACCAAACCAGCCGACAAAATCCTTTTCCTTATGATAACGGAACTTGGCAGCAACCTAGTGGCTGCCTGCCAAGAGTTTATTACTCACGAAGGGAAGAGATAACTTCTCTCCGCTTTTAGTACATCAAAGTAAAATGTTCAATAATTACAGAGTAAATTAAGTTCACATATAATCCAGCAAAGCCTATAGCAAAAGTCTGGCAATGCAGAATGGCGTGGAAGCTTTCAGCTTTGTTCGTCACAAGGCTTGACTGGCCACCACGCTCCCTTTTATACCCTGTGGGGTGTGGTCCAGTAACTCAGCCTAATCTCTGGCACGCCTCCTCTTCTGTTGCATGCGCTTATCTCTGCGACGCTGGTGTGGATCCAGCCAAGACTCATCCCCATCACTGTCCGACTGTGCCTGTGCGGGGATACCTGGCTCCTGGCCAATCTCTTCTCCGTCGGGAGACACCTGAGGCATTGCCAGAGAGGAGGGTCCTGGAGAGGGAGGCCCGGCCAACTCCTCTCCTTCCCTTTCGGAGCCTTCTTCCTCCAATAAGACGGGCTCGGGGGTCGGAGCCACAACATCATCTTCGGTGGTTTTCTCCGTCCAGAGAAATAAGCCAGGGGTTTGGGAAGCTGATTTGTTAAGAAGGAATAATAATTTTACCTGTAGCGTTTGAGGGCTATCAAAACTGGATGAGATTTTTTTTTGAAAAGGAAGTTTTGAATAGAAGCCAGTAGCAGCAGAGCCCTGGACAAGGTTTACCTCTAATGCAGTGGTTCTCAATCTCTGGAGAAGTGAAAGAGAATTGACTTAAGTCCCAGATGATGTCTCACTTTCTCTTGCATATTATACAAGAAGCAATTATGCTTCTTTTTATGCCTGAATGTTGATGTAGCACAGGCAATGAAACGCAAACCTTTGATATAGGGGTGAAATCCAACAGGTTCTGATAGGTTCTGGAGAACCGGTAGCGGAAATTTTGAGTAGTTCAGAGAACCGGCAAATGCCACCTCCCTGAGCCTACTAATTTTATTTAGTTTAGTATCTTATGACTATCATTGAGTGTTCTCTAATAATTTATGATGATTGTAATTTTATGATTATGATCATGATTTATCACCTGTTGCTTGTATTTACACTGAGATCTTATGCACTGGAGACAAACTCCTTGTGTGTGTCCAGTCACACTTGGCCAGTAAAGAACCTTCCTTCCTTCCTTCCTTCCTTCCTTCCTTCCTTCCTTCCTTCCTTCCTCCCTCCCTCCCTCCCTCCCTCCCTTCCCTTCCCTTCCCTTCCCTTCCCTTCCCCATCCATCCATCCATCCATCCATCCATCCATCCATCCATCCCTGTCTGTCTGTCTGTCTGTCTGTCTATCTATCTATCTTCCACCTATCAACCTATCATCTGTCTGTCTATCAGTCTCTTCGTAACTCCCTCTATTCTAGCTGGAGATTCTACCATAATGACCATGTTAGGTTCTGCTGATGTCCTACTTTAAATTAACTTTACAAAAACTTCTGTATCCAGTGAAAAAGAAATAGGCTTCTCCCAAATACCGAAATTGGTCTGTTAGGATGATCCGTGCGTAGAACAAACGTAAGTTAGATACTCATAACTGACTTTCTTGGTTTCTCCTTCCAAGGTGACGACCCTCGTAAACACCAGCAACAAAGGGCCTTCAGGGAAAAAGAAAGGCCGGTCCAAGAAAGCCCACGTCTTAGCAGCTTCCGTTGAACAAGCCACTCAGAACTTCTTGGAGAAAGGAGAACAGATTGCGAAAGAAAGCCAAGACTTGAAGGACGAATTGGTGGCCGCCGTGGAGGATGTGCGCAAGCAAGGTATGTACCTGGCTAAGGGCAGGAACCTGATCAGAGTTATTCGCAGGATATAGACAGGGGTGGGCTTCAAAAATTTTAGCAAGGGGTTCTCTACCCGGTTGCTAGGTGGGCGTGGCCATGGTAGGCGTGGCCCAGTCAGCCTCCTGCACCATGGCGGGGTGTGTGTATTTTTGCCCTCCTCAGGGTCCAGAGATTTTCCTCGAGCCTCCGGGAGGGCGAAAATGGCCTCCCCAGGTTCTGGAGGCCCTCTGGAAGTTCTTCCTGAACTTCCGGTAGGCTTGTTATTCGCCCTCCCTGAGCCTCTGCCCGTGTCCTGCAGCTACCTGCATCCAAAACGGGCCGCGTGGGGACTCCTGGGAGGGGTGGGGCGAGGTGGGCAGGTCCAGCCAGGAGTGGGTTTTGGGGGTTCTCCAAACTGCACAGAATCCTAGCTAGAGGTTCTCCCGAACCCCTTCGAACCCCCAGCAGCCCATCCCTGGCTATAGGTGGTCCTCGACTTATGATCACCTCTGAGTCCAAATTTTCCGTTGCTAAGTAAGGCAGTTGTTCAGTGAGTTTTGCCCCATTTTACGACCTTTTCTTGCCACAGTTATTCAATGAGTCACTGCAGTTGTTAAGTTAGTAACACTTAACATCTGGCTTCCCCATTGACTTTGCTTATCAGAAGGTCGCAAAAGGGGATCACGTGACCCTGGGACACCGCAGCCCTCATAAATACATGACAGTTGCCAAATGTCTGAATTTTGATCACGTGACCATGGGGATGCTGCAACAGTCATTAGTGTGAACGATGGTCATAAGTCACTTTTTTCAGTGCAATTCAATTGTTATTCAGGTTTGCCAGGATTCGTTCTGTGAATCGTCACTAAATGAACTGTTGTAAATCAAGGACTTCCTGTAATAGCAATAGCACTTAGACTTATATACTGCTTACTCGTCCTTTACAGTCCTCTCTATGAGGGTTACAGAGTCTGCATATTGCCCCCAACAATCTGGGTCCTCGTTTTACCAACCTTGGAAGGACGGAAGACTGAGTTAACCTTGAGTCAGTCAGGTTCAAACTACTGGCAGCGGGCAGAGTCAGCCTGTGATACTGCATTCTAACCACTGTGCCATCATGGAAATAATAATAATAGAGTAGAGTAGAGTAGAGTAGAGTAGAGTAGAATAGAATAGAATAGAATAGAATAGAATAGAATAGAATAGAATAGAATAGAATAGAATAGAATAGAATTCTTTATTGACCAAGTGTGATTGGACACACAATGAATTTGTCTTTGGTGCATAAGCTCTCAGTGTACATAAGGAGAATAAAATACATTCATCAAGAATAAAAAGATACAACACTTAGTGATAACCATAGGGTATTAATAGGGTAATAATAATAATAATAATAATAATAATAATAATAATAATTAAAAATAACAGTTGAGCGACTGTGGAAAAAGAAATTGTGTGTTGTCCCGACTGTAATTGGAGCCCTTGGAGCAATACCCAAAGGGCTACCCCGCTATTTAGAAATTCTAAATTTGCCGGACTTAAACGTTTTGACTCTACAAAAAACCACCTTACTCGGAACAGCTTACATCCTCCGACGATACCTTAACAGTTCCTAGGTCCTTGGTTAGGACTCGAGCTGCTGAGCTATTAACCAGCCTCAAAGGCTGTGAATCTCACTAAAGGTTAACCAATAAATAATAATAATAAATTTATAATAATAAATTTTAAGAAGATACTTGGTTGATAGCCATTGTAACAGTGATACCCATTGTGTAACAGTGATACCCATTGTCATCAGGGCACTTGGTACCATGTCCAAGAATTTTATAAGATACATGAACAAATTGCAGCTTCCTGCAATAACTCCGGCAGAACTGCAAAAAACTGCGCTACTTGGAACATCGTACATCTTAAGAAGGTACTTGGTTGATACCTAGGATGCTGGCTGCAACCCGTATCAACCATTAGCACCAGTCAGTGGTATTTGTGACACATTTTTTAAATGTCCAGTTGACTGAGTTTCATGTTTAATGAATGAAAGAGATACAGTTTAAAAAGATACTTGGTTGATACCTAGGATGCTGGCAGCAACCCGTATCAATCATCAGTGCCAGTCAATAATATTTGTGACACATTTTTGAATGTTCAGTTGACTGAGTTTCATGTTTAATGAATAAAAGTATCATCCCCATCCTCCTCATCATTATTCTATGAACACATTACACATTGAATGCTGTCTACGAGGCTTTTTTTTTTTTAATTTGATTTATATATCGCCCTTCTCCGGAGACTCAGGGTGGCTTACAATGCGTTAAGCAATAGCCTTCATACTTTTTGTAGATTTATACAAAGTCAGCTTATTGCCCCCACAATCTGGGTCCTCATTTTACCTACCTTAGAAAGGATGGAAGGCTGAGTCGACCTTGAGCCTGGGGAGATTTGAACCTGCAGTAATTGCAGGCAGCTGATGTTACTTAACAGCGCTTTAGTCTGCCGTGCCACCAGGCTCGGCAGGTTTCTGCAGTTATTAAGAATTAATGGAGCAACCCATTAAGAATGGCTCTGAAATCCATCTCATTTTTATATGCATTTCACTAGCGGACCTGTGGGAGAATTTGGGATGCTTTCGCAAACCCATCTTTGAAACGAGCGTGGCAGTTCCTGGCCTCATGCGGTTCTTCTCAGAGGAACTGATTGTATGAATTATTCCTGTCAAATCTATTATCACAGTTGTCAGCTGTGGAAGAATAACTTCGGTGCAATGTTTTATAGAGTGTAATCACACGTTCCAAGTTAGGTTTTAATTATAGTCCCAGCAACATATTTCACGGCATCGATTAATTTTTATTTACATATGCTTCGATTTTATTCATGTACTTTTCTTGAATGAAGTTCGCGGGCTTTCAGTTGGAACAGAGACCCTTTCAAAAGGAGAAAAAAGAGAAGCCATTGACCGGTAATCATGACAGACCTGTCTTATAACTGGAAGCATTCTTTAACAGGTGGTCCTTATTTCGTGACCGCAATTGGGACCGTCAGCTTAGGCGTTAAGCAAAACAGTCGCTACATGAAATTGCAATTTTGCTTTCGGCCTGACGTTAGCTTTCCTTTGCTTTACTGACCTGCAAAGTTTGTTAATGTGAAGATGGGTTGCAAAGTTATTTTTTTCAACACCCCTGTAACTGAGAAGAGTCTTCTGCTGGCAGGAAATAAAATAAAATAAAAATAAAGCAAATATTGTCTAATGAGACTGCAGAGCCAAAACACTTTAATTTCTGGAAACAGCTGCATTAAAAATTATTATTTAACTCCTCCTCCCTTCCTCCTCCTCTTCTCTTCTTCCTCTCTTCCTCTCCTCCTCCTCTTCCTCCTCCTCCTCCTCTTCCTCCTCTCTTCCCCTCCTCCTCCTCTTCCTCCTCTTCCTCCTTTCTTCTTCCCTTCCTCCTCCTCTTCCTCCTCCGCTCCTCTTCCTCTTCCTCTTCTCTTCCTCCCCTTCTTCTCCTCTTCCTCTTCCTCCTCCCCTCCTCTTCCTCCTACCCATCTCTTCCTCCTCTCTTCCTCCTCCCCCTCTTCCTCTTCCTCCTCTCTTCCTCTTCCTCCTCTCTTCCTTCTCTTCCTCTTCCTCTTCCTCCTCTCTTCCTCTCCTTCTCCTCTTCCTCCTTCTCTTCCTCCTCTCTTCCCCTCCTCCTCCTCTTCCTCCTCCTCTTCCTCTTCCTCCTTTCTTCTTCCCCTCCTCCTCCTCCCCTCCCCTCCTCTTCCTCTTCCTCCTCTCTTCCTCCCTTCTCCTCCTCTTCCTCTTCCTCTTCCTCCTCCCCATCTCTTTCTCCCCTCTTCCTCCTCTCTTCCTCCTCCTCCTCTTCCTCCTCTTCCTCTTCTTCCTCCTCTTCCTCCTCTCTTCCTCCTCCTCCTCCTCCTCTTTTTCTGTTGAACTGGTAAGAACAGGATAGAGAGCATGCTAAATTTAATTGTGCCACCAGTGGACTAGTATTGATGTATCTCTAACTATTTTTTTTTTAACTGGGGGAAAAATATTTATAACCAGTTTTTGCAATTTGCTATCTGTTTCAATTGTTATTCAGCTTTGCCAGGATTCATTCTGTGAGTTATTATGTGCTAAATGTCACTCTATGCAAATATTTTGTTGTTAGTCCTCTCAGGTCCTCTCCAAATCCATTAATTATTTTACAGCTCTTAGAAAATAGAGATTGCGAAAGGCATTATATTCTCTGGTCCTGGGTGATATGAAGCACTTGGGATGAATGAACAGACACTGTGTAAAATCTTAGAAAATATATTGCAGTTTACCTTTTTGCAGTAATATTTTTAATAACCTTAAGCAGTGAGCAATAAGCTAATTACCAAAGGTAGTCAAAATAGTAAGGAAAATTTTAAAAAAACACAGCTCTACCTATCTCAGTTTATCCCGTTGTCCTAAATTAATGTACTCTCTCCTACTGCAATTTTTAACTAAAATTTATATAGATGTTAACTTCTGAAGTACACGCACCGAATTCAGCCAAACCCTGAATTCAGGCTGACCTGAACTGAATCTGTCCTCAAACTGAATTTTTGCAATGAATTTCCTATGAAGATCTGCAATGGAAGGACAGAGCATTTGAATGATATAGGATTTTATAATGACACCGAAGAGCATAGAGACTCCAAACTGATGACATGTTTGACCCCACCTTCAGGCTCAGCTCGGTCATCTCTTACACACAGTACATTGTGTCGAAAATATTGTGTTCTGTTCCCCGTCCTCACACAGACAAATGCAATATCAAACACGCCTGCCAATAATTTATTGTATAAACAGACCAGAATTCCTGGCAGACAAGAGTTCTGGCAGCTAACTGTAAAACGCCTGCCAAATCCAATTAGTACTCCCAAAAAGCAGTCTGTTTCTAGAGCGACAAATTATCCACAAGAGTTTAGTCCAAAATATATCTGAGCCGAAGTGCAGGATTCACGATGTGACTCTTTAGAGTTTAAACTTTTGTCCGTCACAAAGCCTGCCGAGCAATCACGCCCCCTTTTATCCCTTGTGGGGCGTGGCTCAGTGACTCAACTCAATCCCTGGCCCTCCCATGCCTCTTCCTTTGCTGCGCATGCTTCTCCCTCCGACGCTGCCTGGGATCAAGCCAGGATTCATCATTATCACTCTCTATCAATGAGTGCTCCGAAATGCCTTCCTCCTGGCCCATCCCAGGCTGTTCCTCCTGGCCTTCGGATGGAACCTGAGGCATTGCCAGAGAGGAGGGTCCTGGAGAGGGAGGCCTTGTCAGTTCCTCCCCCTTACCTTCTGAGTCCTCTTCCTCCATGAGGACAGGCTTGGGAGTCGGAGTCACAACAGATTGTTGGAAAGCAGGTCACAACTCTGTCTCAGAAGGGAATACATTCTGTCATGACTGAGAGGGGGTTGTCCCAACATTCCCGCTCATGACAAAGATTGCAGTGTCTCAACTTCATGGATCCCGATTAACCACCGGGATGGGGGGGCAAGATCATAATGACATTTCAATCTCTTCTTCATGTTTCTCAGGACTTCATTCAGGCTTGACAAGATCTCCTTTGAATCTGAGCCCAGATGTAGGAGATGACCAGGCTGGGCCTGAGGGAAGGGTCAAATGTGTCATAAGTCTCGAGTCCCTCCTCTTCTACAAGAGATCTAAGTCCAGCCTACCTTGAATTCCATTCAGTCTTATCGGCCGCCAGCTCGCTTTGACCATTTAGTAGTTCAGATTCTTGTAGAGAGCTTGAGTGTGGAATAAACCTGTGTACATTCACTTGAACTGCCGTGACTCCTGATTGATACTAGATTTGTAACTCAGATGTGTAATCCTTGAGAAGCCCAGCTTTGTTTTGTGGACGAGGGGAACCGGTGAATATAGTTGTGGTTATGCCCATCAATCTCTTCTGTGTCTATAGCCAGAGGTGAGCTACAAAAATTTTAGCAAGGGATTCTCTGCCCGGTTGCTGGGTGGGCGTGGGCATGGTGGGCATGGCCTAATTGACCTCCTGCACCATGGGGGGGGGCATTTTTGCCCTCCCTGGGCTCCGGATGCTTTCCTGGAGCCTCCGGGAGGACGAAAATGGTTTCCCCAGGCTCCAGAGGCCCTCTGGAGGCCGGAAACGGGCCCGTTTCCCAAAGTTCTGGTAGGCCCGTTTTTGGCCCTTCCCAAACCTCCACGTGTGCCCTCCACTTACCTGCACCCAAAACGGGCTGCGTGGGGATTTCTGGGAGGGGAGGGGCGGGATGGGCAGGGCCAGCCAGGAGTGGGATTTGGGGGTTTTCCAAACTGCACAGAATCTTAGCTAGAGGTTCTCCCGAACCCCTGCAACCCCACCCGTGTCTATATCAAATGTTTTTGTCTCACATTTTGCAGCTACCTGACCAGCTAATGTAAGTTACCCACTTCCTGCTTGTAATTTTTCAGTTTCTTCTGTTTCTGGAGATTCTGGGGACTTCCCTTGTCTTCTTTATCTGTCTTATCTGGCAGCGGTTTCAGCATTCCATGCCATGGTCGATGCCATTTTGTTACGAATTTCCTCAAGGAATTGCATGGCATGCACCCATCTGTTATACCTCCTGTGCCTCCTTAAGGTTCTTTTTTTTTTTTTTTCTCATGCTCTGATATTTTCATTAAAATCCTTTGAACCTCTGGCTTCAATAGATCTCTCTCTGAAAAGAGAGGAAGAACATGGTGTGTTTTTGCAGGATGAAACACAATTTCAGACATTTTCATGAAGGGCAGGATCAATTCCACGAAGACAAAGGAGATCTTCGGACCAAATTTTCTTTCTAAGAGTCACAGCCGCCTTCGGCTTATTATTATTATTATGGTTTGTTGCACAGCCAGCTAGATATTTAGAATGGATTTGGCATTCTTGTCAAAACTGTTGAGTCCTTCCCAAGGACCGTGGACAGGTAAATGTTGTTTGATGGTGTTTTAGAGATATCATCGCAGGATGTAAATTGTTCCACCAAAAGCTGCCTTTTGCAGTTGACTTTTGGTGGTTTTTGTCAGTGCTGATGGGATTCAAGTGGCACTCCAGATGTTTTGGTATTGCACCCAGGCACTATTAATAGAAGTGCTACTCCTATTGGTACTGCCATTGCTTTCTTTTGCCACAGCTATTCTACATCTATTTGCAAGTCTTATGCATCCTCATCATCAAATTTCTAATGGCTCCCCATTCCATAATATATATCATTTAAAAAAAAAAATCTTAATCTTATACTTTTCTTTCTGATTTCAGTTAGGCGTTTCCTTCCTTCCTTCCTTCCTTCCTTCCTTCCTTCCTTCCTTCCTTCCTTCCTTCCTTCCTTCCTTCCTTCCTGCCTGCCTGCCTATCTGCCTGCCTTCCTCCATCTTCCCTCCATCCTTCCTTCCTCTATTCCTTCCTTCCTTCCTTCCTTCCTTCCTTCCTTCCTTCCTTCCTTCCTTCCTTCCTTCCTTCCTTCCTTCTTTCCTGCCTGCCTGCCTGCCTGCCTCCATCTATCCCTCCATCCCTTCCTTCCTTCCTTCCTTCCTTCCTTCCTTCCTTCCTTCCTTCCTTCCTTCCTTCCTATTTCTTTTTCCTATCTAAGCAATATTCAAATTTTCACTCTTCTCGACAGTATTGTATTGAAAAAAAAAATAACCAACTCTTTTAGTTTACACAGTATTCATCTTATTGTGACCCTGGATCATCACAGATTCAGTTAGAAATGGCATTGATATATTGATTGCAGAGGTTTCATGTTGCAGCTTCCTTCTAAAATTTCTTATATCTGTACTAAAACTGTCACTCAGGTATGCTTACTAAGGACTCAATTATTACATTCCACGTCTGAAGGAATGAGATTGCTTACCTCATATCTCTGTCAAGGGAGAACCTAACCTTCCTCACAGGTTATAACAACTTATCCATTATAAGCAGTCCTTATGGGGTTTCAGCTCGTTTAATCTTGCATTTTTCGTATGTTTTAACTTTTTGATGTTCATACTGAGATGCCTAGCTTAAATGGCAGTCGTTTGTTAACCATCAACATTTTTTTTTTAAAAAAAATCCTCATCTTACTCCTTGCTGTTCTCAGTTCTTCAATCCTAAAACTTCATTTATTAATTAAACCCAATTCATTTGATTATACACGATTATACATTTATAAAACACTGCATGTGAAGGAGTGAAAAAAGAGACCAGACATAGGGGAGGAGCAGAGAGAGCTAGAAAGGTGGTGGAGTTAAGTGTGTCATCAATTTAGAATCGTTTCATTCCCGCAATCACTCCAGGGCCAACCCCTCCTGAATTCCATTGACCCTTACCTGGCACCAATTTAGTGTTGAACTTCAGCTGTTCAGATTTCTTGCATATAGGCTTGTGTAAATCTTCTATGCTGACACCTTACGAACGGTCCTGATTCTTTGCGCCTGACAAAGACAAAGTTTTGGTTATAATTTACCAGGCAGAGAAGACCCAGGATTAGATACAGCACAAAATTTTTGAATTCTAGCACTGTACTTGAGTCCAGGAGCCAGGAGGAAATGTCTTCTAATGTCTGTAACACCTGAGCAAAATTTCTCAAGTTACCAGCATCCTCAATACACAAAGTCTCAGTGAATGAAGATGCTGGTTACTTAGCTTCTAGCTGGGTTACTTTGGGTCAGCCCCTTTCTCGCAGCCCTAAGAAAAAGGCAATGGCCAGCCATCTCCAAAAATGTTGCCGAGAAAACTGTAGGGACCTGACCCTATAATTGCCAAAGTTACTCAAGTGTTACCAGGGGTGAGCTCTGTGCATGTATATAGGTAGGCACGCGCACTCACATTTGCAAACGGGTAGCGAAGTAAGTGGATACCACCCCTGGTGCAAACACACTTTGCTATTTGCAAAGAGGGAGGTGTAAGATTTGGGTGTCTTCAACTTAACAACTGTTCATTTAGTGACTGTTCGAAGTTACAATGGCACTGAAAGAAAGTGACTTACGACTGGTTTTCACATTTATGACTGTTGCAGCATCTCCCTCGGTCCAAATTCAGATGATCTGCAACTGGTTCATATTTATGACGGTAGTCCCGGGGGGGGGGTCATGTGAGGTCCCCCTTTGCGGCCTTCTGACAAGCAACAGTCAACGGGGAAGTCAGATTCGCTTAACAACCGTGGCAAAAAGGCCGCAAAATGGGGGCAAAACTCACGTAACAACTGCCTTGCGTAGCAATGAAAATTTTGGGCACAACGTCGGTCGTAAGCCGAGGTCTACTTGTGCAGACTATGAAGCCTTTTCAAAGCAAAAAATAGAAATAAAAATAAAAATTGCAGGGAAAACTCCTGTTGTTCCTGTATGCGCAGTGTCAGCTTCCAAGCTGCCATAAGGAAGGAGAGGAGAGGCTGGAACTTTCACCTACTTAATTCCCCTAAAGAACTGTCTCCACGGAGATGGGATGGGAGGGGGGGCATTCCTGTGAACTGATGGAGATGGGATGAGAAGAGTGGCTTGGAAGATGGCCAATGAGACGCAGAGAATTGGGAACCGGAAAGAGAGGTTTTTGGGGGGGGGCAAAGTTCAGTGCTAACTGCGCATTGAGTCAGGGTCAGTTCGTTATGCTCAATAAAGAGAAAAATTTCCTCAAAGATCGGGCGTTTGGAAATTCATTTATTTGGAGATAACAACGAAGCTTGACACGTAGTCTAAATGCAGTTGTGTTCCTTCAGGCCATGATCAAATCAGGTAGGCTGCTGGGGGTTCACAGGGGTTCGGGAGAACCTCTAGCTAAGATTCTGTGCAGTTCAGAGAACCCCCAAATCCCACTCCTGGCTGGCTCCTCCCACCCTGCCCCGCCCCTCCCAGGAGTCCCCACACGGCCTGTTTTGGATGCAGGTAAGTGCAGGGCTGGCACGGAGGCTCAGGGAGGGCAAAAAAAAGGCCTACCGGAAATTCGGGAAGGCTGGAAACGGGCCCGTTTCTGGCCTCCAGAGGGCCCCTGGAGCCTGGGGAGGCTCCCAGAGGCTCGAGGAAAGCCTCTGGAACCCAGGGAGGGCAAAAGCACACCCCCACCCCCGCTGTGGTGCAGGAGGCCGACTAGGCCACGCCCACCATGGCCACACCCACCCAGCAACCAGGCAGAGAACCCCTTGCACAAATTTTTGAAGCCCACCCCTGAGTGTTACTCAAAAGCCCAGACCACCTAAAGTTATATCTCCTTTAGTATAAACATTTATATATTGTTTCTGGAGCTCCCATTCACACGCTTTGTACCTTGTTTATTGCTGACCCGTCTTAGCTTATCATCCCCATACATTTATTTTATACAGAACCAAAAGGGGATAAAACTCACGCAACAAAGAAAATTTCGTGAGATAAATTGCAATAAATGTTTTTATTGCAAGGTGACATTCGCTAGGTGCTGCACTGCCAGCTTGGAGAGCTGAAAGAAGATTTAAAAAGTTCTTCCTCCTCCTTCCAGCCTCTCCAGGGAACGGCAGAAGTTTACAACAATTAAAATCTATAGAGTTAATCTCTACCTTTAATGGCCCGTGTCTTATGCGAAGCTGCGGGTGATTGGTTCCAAACCCGTTTTAATAGCCTTAGGAAAATCCGGATGCTGTATAGTCTTTAAGTGACATTGATGTTTTTGTCACTCTGAAGCTAGTCAGTCATAATGAGCTTTTAAAATAGACAACGATAGGTTTACTGGCCATGATGGGAAAGGAAGCCGTGATAATACTTTTGCCCCTCCCAACCCCCCCTTTTTTTAAAAAAAAAAAATTGATATAGCATTAAGAGTCACTTGAGACAAATAGAGGGAAGCTATTTAAAGGCAGTTAATGATGCGGCTTAGAATTTTGGAAAGTTGGAGTGGGAGTGTGAATCACTGTCAGAAGAATTGCTAATCACTGTTATTTAAAGAAGTGGTTGTACCTCAGGCTTCATTAAATATAAAAGTGTTGGCCCCGTTTGGAGCAATTATACCTGACAGGCACGGGTGGATCCCTCCCCTGTTTGAAAAATCTCCCAAGTCCTCTGTACTGTAAGGCAGCAGTAAGTTTCGCACATTCTTAAAAAAAGGAGGGGGAAAAAAAAACCCCACCACCAGAAAAGCAATTCATTAGGGGGTGATCTCTGGCGTATTGATGGCGGGCAGTTCTCTTGCAAAATACAAAGGAAACGGTGATGAACAGACCTGCGCTTTCGAAGAGAGAAAAGGCCGGGATCCATTGGAAAACAAAGCACTTACCTTGATAGATAGGCATCTCATTCAAGCTTAATGACAGTTGTTACAGTACGACCCAAAATGTATTGATTGTGCTTCTTAAGTTGTGATTGTTCTTACATTGGCGTTCATGTTCCCAGCATATGGACGTGTTGAGGATGAAGAGTAGGATGGTTAACGTCACGTTCGAAGGGAAAGGGGAAAAAAAAACAACAAACCCATGCATCCAGACCATGATTAATAAGGAACTTTGGGGCTGTGTTTCAGCCTGTGCCCTGTTTTTAATTCATTGGTCACATGCAGAGGTGAAATCCAGCAGGTTCTGACAGGTTCTGGAGAACCGGTAGTGAAAATTTTGAGCAGTTCTGGAGAACAAGAGCCTTGGTAGTACAGTGGTTTAAGGCACCCTGTTATTAAGCTGGTTATTAAGACCAGCTGCCTGCAATTACTGCAGGGTTCGAATCTCGCCAAGGCTCAAGGTTGACTCAGCCTTCCATCCTTTCTAAGGTAGGTAAATTGAGGACCCAGTTTGTGGGGGGAATAAGCTGACTTTGTATAAATATACAAAAGTATGAAGGCTCTTGCTTAACGCATTGTAAGCCGCCCTGAGTCTTCGGAGAAGGGCGGCATATAAATCAAATTTAAAAAAAAAAAAAAAAAAAAAGAACCGGTAGCAGAAATTTTGAGTAGTTTCGAGAACCGGCAAATACCACCTCTGGCTGGCCCCAGAGTGGGGTGGGAATGGAGATTTTGCAATATCCTTCCCCTGCCACGCCAACTAAGCTACACCATGCCCATCAAGCCATGCCCACAGAACTGGTAGTAAAAAAAATTGGATTTCACCATTGGTCACATGTCATTAAACGTAGAATCCTTGGAGGTCTTCTAGTCCAACCTCCTGCCCATGGCAGGAGTCCTTATATCATTCCGGATAAATGGTTGTTCAGATTTTCTTGAAAACCTCCATTGATGCAGCAGCCACAACTCCCAAGAGGTAAGCTGTTCCATTCATTAATCATTCTCACTGTCAGGGCAGTCCTCCTTATTCGATCCTCCTTTGGCGAGCTTCCACTCATTGCTTCTTGACTTTCCCTCGGATGCTACGGAGAGTAAATCAACACCCTCTTCCCTGTGGCAACTTCTTCAAGTGTTGGAAGATGCTATTCGGTCTACTTAAGCCTTCTCTTCCTTAGGCTAAACAAACCTAGTTTCTTTAGCCTTTAGATCGAGCCTCTGGACCACTTATCATCTTCGATGCTCTTCTCTGCACTCTTTCTAGGACCTCACCATCTTTTTTCTATCATGGTGGCCAGAACTGAAGGGATAAGAATAGTTCCGACGACTCACATCAAGGAAGCCTGTCTTAGTCCATCTTGTAGTTTTGGTTCTCATAGTTGCCAAGCAGGAGGTGAACATCAATCTTTTTCTCCCCATTGTTCTCCTGATCAAGTACTGGGAAGCACACTGCCTTCTCTTCAGATATAACCATCAACGTTTAGGACTAGCGGTTGATTTGGCTGTACAAGCATCCAAAATTGTGAACTCGTTAAAAATTAAGCTGAACACGTGAGTGGAGGCTTTGGGTATTTTCTAAGGGCTTAGTATCTTAGTAGATTCCTGGCAAAAACTATGGAAGAAATGAATGAAAACAACAGTGAAAATGGAATAAGGAAAGGTAAGGTCTAGAAAAACCAAAGCATTGATTTGGTTTTGAGGCTTTTTGGGGGGTTCTTTTTGGATGCTGGAGGCACTGCGGTGGCTGAGTGGTTAAGACGTTGAGCTTGTTGGCTGGAAAGCCAGCAGCCTAGGTCTGAGACACAGGTTCTATGCGAAAGGGTGAGCTCTCCTGTCCTCGCCCCAGCTCCTGCCAACCTAGCAGTTCGAAAGCATGTAAATGCAAGTAGATAAATAGGTACCATTTGGATGGGAAGGTAACAGTGCTCCGTGATGTCATGCTGGTCACGGGATCGTGAAAATGTCTTTGGACATTTGAGTGCTGGCTCGATAGCCTTGAAACGGAGATGAGCAATACCCCTTATAGTCGGCAGTGACTAGCGGAGTAAAATCCGCAGGGACTCCATAGAAGCAATTTCCATGGAGATGAACCTTTATCCATGGTTCTTTTCACACAATATATATAAATGTCTTCACACAAATGGGAAAATCAGAATCCTCGGTTGATTGCAGACAGTTGCCCTTTAGAGAAACGCATGGGCTGAAACACATCCATGGGACACAATTAGGAATGTTAAACAGCGAGTCATTTAACTCCGAGAATGTGAAGTCTAGGAAGGACCTTGAAAATCCTCCCCTCAAAATGTTCTCCAGTTGTCAGCCGACGGAGATAGTCTGGACAAGAAGCACAAAACCTGACTCCTTTATCTCAACCTTACTCATCTCCTGACTGACCTTGAGGACACAGATTGAATTTACAGGTCGTCACATAACATCTCCCAGTCTCCGGTCTGCTTCCTTGGAACCAAAGTAGATCATGTGTCTTTCAGAAGTTCCTCCCCTCAGTCCTTTGTTACTAGCCATGTTGATTTGGAGCGATGGGAACTGAGGTCCAGAGCTTTAGGAGGATGAAAGCTGCCAAACCTTGCTAACAATACCTTATAATTACAATCCTGGCAGTCAATAAGTTCTGCTGAGAATTCATGAGTAAGACAAGAGCCAGGAAAAGTACAACATGGATTCTATCCACTGCAGGCTTAAATAAGATAAGTAAATAGTAACAGTTTTTATTTTATTTTTTGTCCTCACCACCAGTGGTAGGATGGGTCATTTGCTCTGATTTCAATAGTCTTCGGGATCAGAAGGAGCATGTGTGTCACACCTGCCCCAATTTGGGCTCCTAGGAAAGAAAGACCCTCGACTCCATTTATGTGAAAGGTGTACTTTTACTAAAAGCCAAGTGTCTATGGAGATTCTCAGTCACCCAGGTCATAGTTGCCCCAAAGGTGCTTTTTCAAGAGGCAACTGGACTTTTCCGGGTTTTTTCTTTTTTCTTTTGAAGAAGCTTCTTGGATGAGAATCGAAATGTCTTCAAAGAAAAACCAGAAACTCTAGTTGCCCCTCGAAAAAGCACCTTTGGGTAAAAGCCAAGTGGTTACAATGCAGCAAAACCAGAACTAAAAGTTTTCGTGTGAATATCCCCTAGTTAACTTTTCCTTTCTCGTTCCTGCCCCCTGTTATCTCCCTATTGCC